GGGACGAAATCTGCATTAAAATACCCAAATCTCCCAACGACAGCAGCAGTGCCAGAGGGAATGGAAGTTAGTGTAAGAAATATCAATGAAGATTTGCTTCCATTCCTCCTGATTTATTCAGAGAATGGGTCATTCAGACTGACATTATCAAACGACAGTTGGCGCGTTCGAGTTCCACTCACCGACCGTGTGTCATGTCGTTGTCGTGTGTGTGACAGCTCGGATAATGCTAGGGTGGACAAGTGGACATTTATAATCTTTAGCCATGTATTCTAGCCCCACTCTCTCCACCCCGAAGTAGAACGGTCAGAGTGAACCTTCGTGATTAGACTAAATAATACTAAGCAAATCACAACGCCTGTTCAAACCCCCGCCTGAAAGACATCTGGATACTTTTGAGCAAGTTTTTCTCATCCTGGTTCTACGTATGGATACAGGGAGCAGTGTGCTGATTCTTCGGAACATGATTCGTTCCATCAGTCCTGGTGCACCCAAATGAAGCCGGTTTCTCCTAACTTCACGATTCCCCCCTTCTGTTGAGATTCATTTATTTTTGTGCGTCTAAACTGTCGAAAAGAGGAACTGTTCAGGCATAATTGCATAATTGTTGTAACGCCAGCAAAAGTGTAAGTTTGACACTGAAGGTGATCGAGTTACGTGAAAGCTCACGTTCCAGTAAGTAACACTTGTCATATTGTGTTTATGCGCCGATTCATTTTACTGGAAGTAAGTTACGCTCCGTTCTAAAATTAGAAGTTTCTAAATTTTCATTTAATCGAAGAGCTATGGTTGTCCAAAAACAATAAGCTGTTGGCTCACACGGTCCAGCTATCCGCCAGCCTCGGTTTTTGGCGCGGATAGTCTCCGTGGAATGAAAATATGAACAAATATGTCACTATTTTTCATATGAAATCATAAAGGAATGCTGAAAGCTGTCGAAAGGTATTAACATTAACACGTTCGTCCAATCGACCTGATGTTCGTCTAGTAACGCCTGCTTCTGTCTATAAGAGAGCGAAGTTTACTACTCTCTTCGTTGTTTGGCGTCCGTTTTGAACTGCTCCTGCATTTGAATGATCAGCGATGAACGAAACACTTTATGGAGAACTTGTGATTGTTGGTTTCAACGGCGCTCGCAAGTTCTCCAATCGTGATCCTCGACGACAATCAAATATAGCGCCTTACAAGAGACCGGTTGCCAGTGTTGTACGACCTGAACTAGCGAACTTAGTTTTGGAACCAGGAAACTCGTGTGCTGTTCGAAGTTATTTGAGGCGCCCCGCATCCTATACGTTCTCAAGGCATGAAACCGTTGTTGTTGAACACATTTCCGATTCTAAAACCGATATGTTCCCGTTTGGGCGTAGCACGAACAGTCACAGTGATTTTGTTGTCTAGAAACCATGTCCTTCTGGCTCCTCTTGGAAACGTTACGATCGACAACCAACTGTACTTCAAGAACCTATAGACGCATTGACCATCCCCGATGCCATACCAGTCAGCAGGAAATCACTCCAGGACNTCTCCCACCGAAAGGCCCTTTCTCACTTCACTTGCCGTATTCACGTTGACCGCGAACCGCCCCTCACGGCGCGCGTCTATGCTGCAGATTTCGGTGCCGCGGAAAACATTATTCTTGGAGAATTAGCAGTCAACTGGTGTTTCCAGGGTCGCATGGATGGATTAATCACGAATGGTGTAATGGTCTTTCACGCCGATCCCTACTCGATCACCTCCGATTCACTGCATGACAATGACGATGATCAGCTAACTGTTCAGTCACACTGGCGTGAGGTTAGCATAGGTGGAGTTCTCTTTGAGATGCAAGGCAAGAGGTGTGTACCTACTATGAAAATTCGGATCGATGAGGGCAATGTTCGCGATAAGATGCCTATCGATCTGTGTGCAGTGACCTTATTCTGGTGGTCTGCGTCTAGCTTGTCCCAAACGGCCAACGCAGACGATCTGCAGACGACAATCGACGGCCTCAACCTGACCGGTTTTCACTGTTCTATCATGTGTCGGGCTCTCCGACTTTCGCTTTCCGTCTTCACATCCAAATCGAACAACTCCCTGTTAGCTGACGACGATCCCACCCAAACACAGACCCCACTAGAACCGTACGTTTATCCCAATTGTGGTCGCGTGCATGGCTGGCACGCATGGGTAGGAGAAGCTAACAAAGTTATCGTTGATCGCACGTGTTCTTTGTGCCTTTAACTGTCGCCATTCGTCCCTCTTCGAATGGGCCTTGAGTCTGCATTCTATATCGATCATGCCTTAACCACGCATTATTTCAAGCCTTATGGATACATGGCTTCGGGGAAAACGGTCATGTACTGGTGTTCGGTTAGTCTACCAAACATGCCAAATTTTGAGTAACGACCACGGTGGCCATTTCGCCTTACTGTGATCGATTCGAAACCGGTACGGTTACCCTTCCAAGGCGACACAGATCCACGTACACCGGTTCAGTTACTCAACGCTGTGTTGACAGCATACCCCTAAACTGATGCCCCTTCCGTCAGTCGAGCATCCTCTGATGTCGGTCTAATACTAATGGCCCCCACGTAACCTCACCAGTTCAAATAATGTTACCTGTGCCCGGTATTTCTCTGTGTCTCGGAGGGGTATTGAAATCTATCGTGCTATATGGAGGGAGTATGATCTACTGAAAGTACAGGTTGAACGGGTAAAGTGTCTGGTTTGCGGTGTAGAAGTGCCCGTAATTTGTGATGTGCCGTAACTGGGTCGATAATCAGCCTAAGAAAAGTCACGGAATAGGAAACCAGATGACAGAGAAAGAAATTCGGGTTGATTCGAAGGTAACGAAACTGCAGTTCACACGAATAATAGCATGAACAGACAAGTCATGAGCGGACCACCGACCTCCCGTCAATCGGAAGGATTCTGCAGCCACCAAGAAAGTGTAAACATATGGAGTTCGACTCCACTTTAAGTCGTATCTACTCGTTCAGGAACATGTGCCCTGAATGAACATTTGAACATTCATCAGTCCGATTTCTACTACATGCCAATTTTTGGAGTTTACGATCCTTAACACATTAATGCTAAATGATGAAGCGCGAAAAGCGGAGTTGGGGTTGAGGAGAAGAAAGATTAATAAAAGTGGTAATTCACCAGGTGGTTATGTTACTTGTTCTATGGATTTCATTCTCTGTCGAATGACTGATGACGTACAAAGAGGAACAATAGTGGCACACGATTAAGTTTTTTTTAACTCAGACTATGAGTTCCAGAAAAGAGACAGAGAGCTGTGCGGAAGAGTACCGGATGCCTTAGTTATATTCTCACTTGTCAGTTGAGGGGTCCAGAAAACCAGCCCATGAAGTTCAGGTTGTGAACCTCATACGCTCGGTGTATAGGTTAGACGGTAGCACCAACCAAACGCGAATACCGGTTATGCACTACCTAGAGGACTGTGCGTCAAATCTGATAATCACTCGTATGCTACATGAATGCTTCGTTTTATCAGACGTATGTTCACTATATTCAATTAATTCAGTAACCCTAATGCGCTAGGTCGTTGTTGTTTAGGTAACTTTCCATGTTGGCGAACAGTTCGCCAAAGCGCAGAGTACGACCGAAAAAATGGTTTGGCACATTCTGAGATCTGTATTCAGTACGACCGAAAAATGGTTTGGCACATTCTGAGATCTGTATTCAAGAGTTGTTCTCCATCAGATTCTTCCACATGGATGATGTTACCTAGGTTGAGGAGCTTTAATTTATGAAGAGCGTTCAATATATTAAACATATATATTGAACATGCAATGAAGAACTTTCATATCCTGATTGTCGGTTTTTGACTGCAGAATTTATTTGACCACAATCCAGAACTATTATAAATCAGACGTAGACGATGCGCCAAAATTGAGTCGCATTTTAGTTCCATTGTTATTCACATCAGGAAAGTTTAGAAGACAATCGTTGACGGCTTAAGGGGGTTCTTTGTTCCCTGATGCTCATCTGATGTTTTACACTAAAGGAAAACAACATATGTGATGCTAGTTGTCGCCTATTTGAAGCCACACCTCCTCCCATGACATCGATTTTCTTGCTTGATTGAATCTGGAATGTGATTTACTGAAATTGTGGGAATTTTTACATTGTACGAATTGTTCACAAACCGTCTTTTATGTCAAAAGAAGCCTTGGGGTGTGTTGGTCCTGTCGCACACTGTCGTATGTGTAGTGGAGTTTGGACAACCGTCTGTCGAGCTGTCAAAGCGATTCGGCAAATGAAAACACGCGCGTGCACACACACACACACATAAGCTTGCTTAAATCGGTTCCAGTAAAATGGTTTGTTCTAGGAGGCAACGAATGGTTCAATTAAAAAGGGATTTGGCGAACCGATTGCCAGTAGGGTATTTTCGGTGGAAATTAGTGAAGATATGATTGGGTTGGCGTGGGAAGCCCATTGCTGCATGAGGGTGAAAACGATGTGGCCTCTTGTTGGCAAGAAAATCGTTTGGCCTTAAAGGAGATTAACTGAATACTTTGCACGGAGTTTAGGCGTTGACATGAAGAAACAAAGGATTAGTTGTTCCACGGAGAGCGAATACTCTCGGGATACTGGAAATTATTCAGTCTGAGGGTTATATGGTTTGAACAGAAAGTTAGAAAAGTTGGAATAATCGTCCGTGACGGGTTGCTTGTACTTTCATACGCACTAAGAACTATTCAAACATTGACACCCCAGCTCATTTGCAACGCGACCTACCCAGATTACAGCTGTCTTCTGCAAGGAACATCTTCTTCTATTGAGGGTCAAATGCAATTTGGATGTTCTCTGTATGCGGTAGAACGTCCCATTTATATAAAGGAGCTTTTTAAGTACTTTTAGACCGACAGAACAAAATAAATGAATGATAACATTGTATCTTACATTTCTTGTTTTTACTCAACGAGTCGTTTGTCATCATCCTGTTCTGCTGTGCAAGGCGGTATCTCTCCTGCTTCCGATTTCTTGGTACACAACTCCGCCTCAGTGAAAACCCAGAGTCAGAAAAGTGAATATCAGAAGAAAACTTTACCAGCAATAATTTGTACATGGAGATCGAGAATCACGCTGAGCAACTAATAGGATCACCCACATACAAAATACGACGCAAGTATATGCACGAAGACACTCAGAAATAAACAAAACAGCAGATTTGAAGAAATCATGGACTGGTTTATAAAACGTCGTAATTACTGGTAAAGTACTGCAAGTGCATTAGAAGTCCGGGTTCTCAGTGTGTCCAGCTATCTAAGTTATACTACACTGGCAATCATTTTTGGCTGTAACTAACCTGAACGTATTCTACTGAACAGCATTCAGGATAGAGACGGAGGGTGTGAATTCTAGTATATCACTTTTGTTGTTGTGTAAACGAATGGACAGCCAGAGTTTTGAAAGTTAAGATGGGTTTCGCACCGCTATTTTGTACAAACATCAGCCAGCAAGGAGATTTTTCCGACTGAAAGAAGCTGAGGCTGCTCCTGGAAATGAGGTTATTCTGTGGGGTTAAAAAATATCGAAACATTACAATAGGCAGCTTGGAAAGTTCTCTCCAAATAAACAGGCAAGAGACATGCTCACTAGAGAAACTGTTTGGAAGAACACCTCATAGATACCTTAGGAAAAATTTCTATTCGATACCCCTGATTGAAGGCATGTGGTACAAGTCCCAGTAACCTTGATCAGTAAGGGCTGTTTATTCGCAACACGTGACACTAAATTCTAACCGGAAGATTCCTTGTAAGGAGGGAGGAAGGAGCACAGAATTCAGAACACGTGTACTACTCATTACACAGAATCTTCCGTCTTGTTACCAGACCTCGGGAAGTAAACCATTATGGAAATTCCGAGAGCACATAAGTAGATAACAAAAAACAACCGATCTAACACCATTCCGACCGCGCGCCATTCGGCAAGTTGTTTGTTGACCTTCTCTTTTTTCTCATTCTGACGCTGCATGAAACGTATACAACGAACGATTTCCGCAACATCTCGCTTTAACCTCTGTACTCGTTTGAGCAGAGTGGGATCGGAAATTACAGAGGGTCGTTTTTTGCTGTCAGGTAAAACACCAGCACCTGATCCGGAGCGCCAAATGCCATTTGCCACAGACTCATCACTGTCACTGACATCCACCGGACCATCTATCTCTGGTCTGGCAATATTTCCCGCTGAAGGCCACCTTTCGATACTCTCCTCATCCTCATCATCTTCACAATTCGGGGAGGTGAACTGATAAAATGGTGATGGAGGCAGACCTTGTTGTTGCATTGCTTTCCAACGTGTATTTGCCGCAGCTATTGCCTTTTTTGCTGAGTTTGGTCGTATGCATTCAAGTAAAAAGGCCTCCAAATCTGGTCCAATCGAGCGATCGCGGACGGAGGTTATCGCATCCAAATTTTCTTCACCGTCTTCCTGATGCAGACGAGGGTCTGTGCAGTTTGGGTTATTTGGGGCGTTTGGATGTTTGCCTCTGGGTACGGAACCAGTCATTGCAGCGGTCCAAACTGCTGCCAGATCTTCTGTCGGATCTTCTACAAATGGATTACCAGGGAGAGGCACTTGTTGCGGCTGTTCTTCGTCACCTGGTTCTTGACCTTCGGAATCCGTGAGGCCTCCGGCCGCAGCTGCAGCCGCCAAGCCAGCGCAAGCGGGACAAAATGCACATGATCTGTTCCGCTCGTCTCCAGTAGGTCGCCGATAAGGGTAACGAGAATACGGATCTGATGGATTAAAATAGGGTCCAAGAGCACTGCTTGGGTCACCCGTTGGTGAATAAGGTAGCCGTCCATTATCATGAAGTAGATAATTCGGTTGTGGGTACACGCCTGGATAGTACCTTGCCTGTTGTTCATCGGCGAAAAAACGTGGATCCGGCCCCACCCCAGCATTTCCACCCGCACCATACGGGACAAGCTGATTTGGTGGTGGAAAACTGGCATTGGCTAAAAGGCAAAGAAATGTAATGTTAAAGCCCTCAAATTTGGATGCCTCAATGCGGAGTACATTTTGTCATGACAAGCCCACGACGGGATTAACCGCAAATGCTAGAAATTCACGAGTCTTTCACGCTGCCCAGATCTTACAAAGTTCATCCGTTTCACACCATACTGAGGAGGAAATGATCCCAATACTATTAGGCTGAATACATACAGGTATCAATCTGAAACTGCTGTAAATTAAGCAAGCCCAAACTCGGTAACACGTCTTATTCCGAATAAACCGCTTGTGTCTGTGTTTAGTCCATGAGGTCAGCCTTTGAGAGGATATACCTGGACGGGATAATAACCAACCCTGGTACCGCATGCAGGTGTAAAAATCTGTTAATGATACGTTCCCAAAATCAGTCTCGATAGGTTTGAATTCCACCTCACGACCAGCAAGCTATAATATAATGGAAGACAAACTCACTGTGGATCAGGACGGTTCATAAAAGCCTCAGCTATGAGAATGAAAGGTCTTTTAAACCAAAAGCGTTATCGTAGCATTAGGCAGACACTTATAGTTTTGGCGGGTTTCATTAAAAGGTACATTAGGGGGAGGGGGGAAGAATTATTTTGTGAGCCCACAGTTGTGCCACATTACATAATGGATCTGTAGCTTGACCAAATTCACCGGAAATCGCGTAATCCAATGGTAACCATTTATGAACCAAATTCAATTCACATGCAACAAGTCGTTCCGTTGTGCTCCACAGGTGATTCATATTTACAAAACTTATTGGTCCTGTTTTGGCGGCTTCACTGAAGATGGACGGATCACAAATAGGCCTTCCGCAAATCAACATCTTGATAATTTTGCGACTGAAATGTCTCTCCGTCGTTAGCAGTCATATCTTCTACCCATCGAAATTGGACACCGTTTTCTACATGTATATATATATATATATCCTAAAAACGTCAGGTTCTTCTGAGATATCAGCTTGGTTTGAATGAGTCCGATTCCTACGACAAACTTCTACATCTCTCATGTCAGCATTCTGATTTGTTTTCTAGTCTCTAAATCTTCACTACACGGCGATATTTCACACTAACACTTTTATTATTCTAAAACTCTGGTCACAAACCCATCAAAACGAAAAGGTTGTGAGTTATGAGGGTAATTTAGCTTCCGTCAACCATTCTAAAACGCCCACACAGAAAAAAGAAGAGAACGTGAAAAAGGGTTGTGGTGTGAACACGTTAAAGTAGCTATGTTTCCAATCTAATTTGAAATCCACAGCAAATTGATAACTGTGTAGTTAACTACTTGATATACTTGGTATCATTCGCTTTCACAGTTGTAATTTCATTGGTAGAATCACTTTGTAACTTGGCATTACAGTTCTGCAATCGCACATGCTTATCGGGATTCGCCGATCTAAACAAGCTGGTGTTTACAATCAGATTTGACGGCTTTCTACGGGGTATAAACTTGGGCCAAATCGGGATATGGACTTGAGAGAATCTAGAGAGTAAAATATTAGACTAATAATATCAGGAGTTTACGCTTAACTAACTATGTGTTATGTAGTAGCTACTGGTCTCTAGTTCTAATCAAAGGAAAAGCTTAGGGGGAATCCACCAACAAGAATTATCAAAGCAGGACAGATTTCCTCCTATCAGAGTAATTTTTTGCTGCCTGATTATTGAAGGTGGGTGTGTGGTGAGATGAACAAAGATGAGTGGTTCCTTACTCTTCTAACTCAATGACATTCACAACTAAACTGGCTGCAGATACGGGATGTCTTCATCAGGGGAACACAACCGTCTTTCTTACATAAAACCGGATGAATGCAGCTCCTGATCACTGTATTCTATTCCCATGTGATGCAGTCAAAATCGGATGAAATTTATGTGAACATGAACTCACGAGTAAAATTTCATTCCGAGCTGTCATGTGATGAGCCAGTCAAAATCTGACAACGTGGTGTGAATTCAGTGGCTGAAGGGTAAATTGCACTATATAGAATAGATGTGCAAGTTAGCCCCGCTGCTGATGGGGCGTCCTGGCCGAAGGGTTAGGAAACCAGCCGAGAAGTCGAATGTTAGAAACCCTTTTGGGTTTTCATAAAGGAAACTACTCACAAGGTTGCTGAAAACTCATCGACAGCCCACGACCGGTTTCGCCCTAATTGGGGTTCATCAGGTAGGCGCAGTCCACGAGTTTCCATCAACCTTATGTTCTACTGCGATATCTCGAAATCGTGTCAACTGGATCATGAGGCGGCTTGTGAGCAGCACATTCAGTTGTGGAATGTCATAAACAAGAGATCCAGTTGAGTCTCTCGTGAAAACCAAGTTGATCTTTTGGGTTTTGTTAGATGTGAATTACAAATGACTCCCAACAGGGGTGAGACGGCTGTAAAATGCCCCTCGGTTTTATCCAAAGAAACAAAAACTCAAATGTGCAAACAGTCGACTACACCTAGAAGCATGCTAGCACTTACGATATATTCGATCACTGTATGGCATATTTTGGGTGGGAATAAATCCAAACGGCGATTTGAAGGGAAGAAAGGAGCCACCTAGTTTTTCCTGTTCAGTGTTACTCTTTTTCGATCCAGGAGGTGGAGGAGGTGTTACATTGACAAGCAGAAAGCGTGCGCCGTGTTGGATAGCCAACTACATGTAAAGGAAACGGAAAAACCAAGACGGAGATTAACAGCAGTGAACGTGGCTATTAAAATAAATTATACATGGCGGTTTTTACAAAGTTTACATGACTGGCCATCACAAAATCTGAAGCTAATTGTCTCGTACAAGGTCTTATGGTCACCCACCTTGGATTATATTATCGGCAAATTGATTTGCTGTAGAGAGGAAGTCTGACTAAATTTTTCCGACTGAATGTGAGACCTTTCCGACAGAATTCTAGCGAAAATAGAATGGTAAGTTTTTCTTCGAAGCACTCAGAAACAAAGCTTTGTGAAAAGGTTCTCAGAGGATTGATCCAGAAATCATTGGCTAGGGAGTGATAGTAGATCAATTTAGATGCAATTCTGTTTGGTCTGGTTGCCCACCATCATTAACCTTCATAAAAATGGAGATATTATGCCGTAGCTGTGTGCATCCGTGCCCAAAGCTGTTTGTTAACATTCAACCACATATGAGTGACCAAGTCTTTCTCTAATCGTTAAAACGTGCAACGCTTCCCTTTTAACCGTTTGTCAGTTCCCCTTCTGCGATTGAATAATGCCGGTGTGTTTCTCGCGTAATTTTATGGGTAGATTTTAGCTTAACTCCCAAGTTGCACCGGAGTGATGGTCAGAAACACAACTTTCGAACACGTAAATCAAGCTGCGTGACGTTTGGGAGCGATGTTTGACTGCTAATTATCCTAGAAACGGGGTAGCGTGGGTGCGAGCTCTTTTAATAATCGTATTTTACTTGGCTTGACGGCTTCTCCGTATTTCGCTGAAACTGACGAAAAACAGGACTGATTGGGAGTTCGCGGTTATCCTGCGATATTGGTGGTCAGATATGGGTTCGTGTCAACAAAAAAGTGCAAATTTGTGAGTTAAAACGTGATGAAAAATCTCAGTTTTAGCTAATTTTGAACTTCCAAGCAAAGCTAAGGTTGATTCCAACAAAAGTAAGTTAGGTTCAGACCATTTAAGTAGCTAAGTTACCGCTGATTCAATAAACTGGCATGTTTATTTGGACGGAGTTCTGGAATATGCCCATTACTTTCTCAATAATACTAATAATTCACTGAAGCTGTTCGGAAGTAAATATCACTGAAACAAAGTTCATTGGATTAGAATGCTAACAGTACCAAGCTTCTTGGACCAATCTAATCTTGAGTAAATGTCGCTCGTCCATTCGGCACTCCGAATTGTGGCACAGAAATGTCATAATCTGTCGAAACTTGCGATAAACGGCTGTTCAAGAAAGCCAAATTGAAAATGTACGTCACTTTGTTATCGCTGGGGAAAAACCAGTCTACGCTGGTATCCCCGTAATAACATAGCAAATTGTTAGTTGCCGACGATGACCAATGCATGGTTGCCTGCGCATTTCATCTTGATTGTGTTATCCAAACAAACAAGCTGGTGTGTCAAGATAACTTCATTGGGAAATACGGCTCACGGCAGAATTAGATAAGGTCCCCTGGATAGTTTCAACTCGTCATTGTACTTCTAACTGCCGCGTTAAGCTGGATAACATCCACATCATATTCATCATTCTCTGGATGGTCGAGAGGGGGCCGCAGAGGCGCAAGCGGAAACTTTTGACTTAGAGGCAGAAATGCTACGGATATTTTTTGTTGGTGAACTTTACCCCTAAAATATTACGCACCAACATCTTATTCCAAGTACTTGATTCTCACTTGAGGAAAAGGAGTTTTGTTGGCTTTTGGTGAGATACAGGCCACGTAATTTAATTTTCCCGTATCAATTTCGTAAAGTTGATCTTATTTCACATGGGGTACAAGGACCTTTTTCAAGCAGACTCAAAAATTTTCTGCAACACAAACTTGCTACCTACATAAATGAGGCAGCAAAATGAAGATAGTCTTTGCGGTTAACCTATATTTACTGTTTCGCATTGAAACCGGGTAGTTTATTTGTGAAATTTTGATCGACTTAGATGATAAAAAATCTTTAGCACTATCGAGATTGTGTCAAAACGCCAGCTTTCTAATAGCATGAAATTGTTGAGTACGTTGACTTAATAACGGTGAACACTAAGATATTGGACTCAATCAGCACTCTCTAAAGTTGAGATGGAAGGAATAATAAATTGCTCACTTTAAGAAATAGGATCTGTGTGAGCTATCCGGGTTTCATGGGAAATTACCGAAATAACTGAACTGCAGAAACATCTAGGTAACAGAATGCTGTAGTACAGGCTTCGTACATTTTATTCTGACGAACATACGAGAGTATCTTCCAGCGTCGGTAAAGCTTCGAAACAAAGTGAACGGAACTGGCGGGCCTTGATCTATGTGATTGGATGAGTTGTTTGCTGCTGACTACCAATGTATTGATCCTGTGAGGCTGCCGCTCCCACCATACTGTGATTTTGGTCGTACCAGTCGTACAGGTTGGCAGTGGCTTGCGTTAGCAATGTTGTCAGGCCACCTAGGCCTATTTCTCGAGCTCAGCACAGCTACTATAGTGATCTCATGTGCATAGGACACACCAAAAGATATGTTGGCTGAAGGTTTGCTAATGGCAGCTGAGTGCGCTAATGACAGTTAGGTGAGAAATATAACAAGCAAACAAACTCCCGGATTGATCAAACAGCATAGTAGTTGGATATTAACACTGATGTGACATTTTGCAACCCGACCTGGTTGCACGGTTCAATGAGCTTTTCCGGCATTTTGCAACCCGACATGGTTGCACGGTTCAATATGGATCATCTATACATAGACCCAGCTAATGCGAAACTTCGAGCAGCGGAAAAGACAAGCAACTGAAAGGTGAAGCAATACGAAACCAAAAGCGTGCGAAGTCAAAAATATGCTAAAAATCAGCCATAATCGCAAATCGGGACTCTATCTGATGAACAAACTTCCTGAACGGTTACTGGTTGTTCGGAGATTTTCCCCAAGTGTTCCCCTATGGCCAGTTACGAGTTAGTAAAAACGTGTATTTCGATTTCACGACGATCGCTCTCTGGTAAACTAGCATTTTGAAGTTATTTTCAAAAACTTGGATATGATATCTGTGTTTCCAAGTGGACATCCGGACCATAAATTATAAGCTTACTGTCAAGCGAAATGTTTGCTAACAATTTTTCATAGTTCGCCTTTGTGCAGTGACAGAATGTGCAACCTGTCTTACGTAGCTGGTAATGATTTTTTCAATAAGGCGTAGGCCTTCTTTCTACGTCTTTACATTTGGAATTTCAGGTACAATCTGAATAGAAGCTGAGTTAGATCGCAGGGCATTTTTCTCTTCGGGATCCCAATATTAAGAGTTCCAGCTTGCCGTACCGGACTGCATGGATATGAAATGGTTAAATGTTAGAATAATTCAACATCCATTGGATCAGTGAATCTTCGTCCAGTGTTGTTGAAATGTTAACTTTGATGAACAAGATATGCATCACCAGAACCAGTTCCTCCATATTTCCTTATAATATCTATCAAGCAGTATTGTATCAAGGTTTACCTTTCTCAGCCAGGGTGGAACGTCAGTTTGTTTGTCCCCACGAAAGTGTAAATTGACGACGATAAGGCACAGGAACGTGGATAACGTCACCAAAGTCATATTCGTACAGTAATAATTACCTGAGGTAGGAGAAAAATAGAAAGCATACTTTTGGGTACAAATGAAAACACCTGTATAGCATTTAAGAATGGTCGTTCTCCTGTACAGGAGCAACTGTTCTAATGGATTCAAAAAAGTGTGAACAGTGGACTCGAGTTTCATACGTTTGTTAAACTCAGCACAGCAAGTTTCATACGTAATTGGCGCTACCTAACTGGGAATTTCTGACAGGCGGGTCAATCGATCCACGTAAGCGGGACAGATACTGCGGTCCTCTAACTTCCGTCTAACCTGCATTGTTCTTGAACCTAAATTGTATACATTTGGCGAAATTCACTCATTTATACCTCACTCATTTCAGCTGAGGAATGACATAAATGAGAGAGTTGACTCAATCTGTCTTTAAATTTGATAAAATTGACAAATGTGTTGTGTACGGCCAGTGTTGAAGTAGGATAAAAGGTTGACGAAACTCAGGATCCGATTATGCCTAGCTAACCTTGTAAAGGATAGAACCACCCGTAGGCTGTCAAGGATCTTTCAGTAACCTTATGAGTACTGTATTAAGCTAAGGCAAAAGTGCCCGATAACCGAGTGAGTACGATTTTACTTGTTCCGTTCCAGAGGTGACGCGGAAGCAAATAAAAATGCTATAGGCAAATACTTTAAACAATTTGAAGGCCTAATCATTACGGATCGGATGTGACGTTCGTAATTTGATAGTGAGAACTAGGATTCAAAGTATATAAAGTGAGTCAGTGGGTCAGCTTACAAGCGCGTACTTGCGGGAGGGTGATTAAGAAACTCTGAAGCAGACCCGACTGTTCCAAGCTTAGTAGCAAACAGTGAGCGATGAAACCTAACACAAAAAGGAATGGAATGTACACAAACAACCAAGTATTTTTTTAAATTTTTAGTCGTTCAGAATACTGAGAATCTCTTTTTGTGTAGGAAACATACGCCACAATGGAATACGAAGTACAATCATCATCTTGTGACAACCATTCATATCGGATTGTTCAGTTTTTATTTGGCTGAAAGAATTCCCGTTCCGTAAACTATCCGGCCTTCCAGCCTAGCTGGAAGTATTTCTCAACAACAATTATTTCCGTCTTAATTTACGAAACAATCTACGTACGTGTGGCACAAAAAGTTGATTTATTGAATGCACACTTTACACCCGTATCGGTGCGTAGTTGTCATTTGTACTTGAACGTTTACAAGAAATCGCTCTCCGTCCTTCTACAAATGAATAGTGCTCTAAGCGATAAATAAGAACTGATGTTTTGGTGAGTGCCGCGGGCACAGTTTGGCACCGGATTGTATTGAGAGAGCGGAATACTGAAGCATGCTTCCTTTTACGGTAACAACTGGTATACGTGCAGATGTTTGGACAATACAAAAAATTATCACCACGATTCTCAGATACTGGCTTACAACTTATTGTTCCGCTTTTTCTTTTAGTAACAGCTGGTGATACCTTGTCTCGAGGTCATTCAGTACACAGACAAGTGGTGAGATATGACATCCTCCAATGCTTCCTTTCATTTGAAGGTAGTCCATCGGCAAGGAATTTTTTAAACATGGGAAAACATCTTTACATGTAGTCAGATTACACGCGGCCTTACTATGGTTACTGAAGAGCTTCTGGCGATTGGACAGAAAAACTGTACTGCATAAATTAGGAACATGTACAAGATTAAGGAATCTTTTCTCGCAACTTTAGTTCGTTTTCAAAAAAGTATTGTAATCTGGGCAAAGTGTTCAAAACAACAAATTTTAAGCAAGGCATTCAGCAGAAAACCGGGTTCCGCGTTACGCCTCTAAAGTAATTTTTAGCTTTGGATCCTCCTGAGCTTACTAAACTCCGATACCTAGAAAATACAGCCAAAAGTTCTCCAAATATGTCTTCACTATTCACTTGCATACTTCTGCTAAAGCATGTGGACCGAAATTAGAAAGCCGAACAACGCCGCAGGCCCTATCCATTACCAAATGTACAGAGCTAATGTTGTACTGCTCCAGGCCCATAATTCCTGTTTACCGGCACGCTTCATCTGAAAACATATAGGGCGCACTTTTGACGAAACAGTATGAGGACTGCAGGCATCGGACCGTCCTGAATCAAGGCGGGAATCAGCTACTTTACTCATGGAGAAGTTAATACTTCGAAGGCTTTGGTTTAATTGAATGATTTTACAGAAGTCAATAGAAGGCGCTGGGAATATAATGTCGGTCTTACGTTTACCCATTCCATTCTGGTGACCTTGAAGTTGTTCGCGTAGGTGGAGTAAATACCGATTGGTAGTGCTCCGAAGATAGTGACAGTGTATTCGGTTGTTGAACGTACATTCTTATCATCAGAATTCAGTCAGATGTTTCATAACTTGGTCAATAGTTTTTTGAAAACCTAACTCCTGTTTTGTCTCACCAGTTACGTTAATTTTGTGTTCTTTGAACTGGCATATTAAATTATTCGGAAGTAAAATGTCTCGTTTAGACTAGCATATTTTATGCTTTGCAACTAGGCAGTCAGACCTAGTGGAGAGATGCCTGAATGCACTGCAGAAACCGGTGACTTCTCAACGAGCAATTATTAAAAACCGGAAGTCGGGATCAGTGAGCATCGGGTGAATGATATATGTAACCATCAGAAGCAGCCGGAACGGATGAGGTGTTCCTTCTCCAAGCTGAGCTTTTAGAGCACTGCGTGTATCCTGTCAAACAACTGGGTTAGAGTTGGCGGCCATTTCCCCGAGTTTGCTTATTGAATTAGATTTTTTTCACTAAGTTAAATCGTGACTAATGAAGCGTACTAGTCTAACATAGTGGGGACACTTGCTTTTGGGGCAAACCTAGTGCGCACTGGTTGCTAGCGAGAGAGGTAGTACGGTGAGATCAATCTAGGCTGCATTAGTCTATATAAATTTTTTGAGACATTGGGATCGATCGGTGGTGCTGTAGAATAATGCCAATCTCACAAACACATGCCTTGGTCCATTCTTTTTCGACATAAATGTGATAAAGTTGGTTACTTTAAGACCATGCAACGATGTAGAGTAGATGGGTAGAGTCAAAAAGTATGACTTATTAGGCTGCGTTATACGAAGAGCAAATACTGCAGCATAGTACACAACAATATCAAACGCGTAATCAAACAAACCATTTGTATCGACTAGAATATGACTATTTGAAGACAACTTTCAACCCAGCGTTTTCCACCTTGGTGTCAGAGTAGAAACTTTTCGGGAATAGTAGTGTAGTGCAAACAAACCGAATATTAGGCACTTTATGATTTACTACTACCTTCGGTCGATATTCTGCAATTGCCAAGCTGTTGTGTATTCCCACGTATTTGGGATTAACGGTCATCGTCACTTGCGAATGACTGATTTTTCAAAGACAACCCTGTAGAAATAGGTCCAGTTTGACTCATTTGTCACGATGTATTGTGTAGAAGTGTCAGGCATGAATGAATGTTCGGTCAAATACTACATGAGAAGCTTGCCAGGATACTGGATATCCCTAAACTTCTTCCTGTGAATCCTTGAGGCATGTGAGATTTTCTCGTTAAATGCCGAAACACGGTACTAATTTCACTGAACTCATCACTTGGTGAAAATAAACTTGACCTTGAAAATGCTATTTGGTGGCAACCAAAATGATTTGGTTGAATAAAAACGTGTCTTCAGCTCGGTAATTTGAACGAAGTGCAATGACGGATAGACTCGGTCGAACATGAAATGAGTTTGTCTTCCAAGTCAGTTTGTTTCCATTTTTGCTTTACACATCGGGCTATGTCGACCGTCACATATGTTTTGAGCTACTGAGGGAGTCCAATTAAAAATCTTATAACCATGTGTTTAACCATGGGGAATAAGATCGGAATCGAAACATGTGTCAAGCGTTGTGAAACTAGGAGAATACGTATTAGATGACTGCCTATTTTGAGCCACAATGTANAGGGAAACAAACAAAAGCTGTAGAGTGCAATTTTCCAAGGTAATAACAACTGCCGTCGGACATTCGAAAGTCGTAGCAAGAGACACTTGTTTTTCCAACAGATTCTCAATCCAGGTTCGCCACAGATATGGCGTGCCGCAATTTTGCTTTGTACGATGAATTATTTTTATGGAAAGTTAACCCAGCAGTCCTTGGGTTGGACTAGCAAGTAAAACAAATATTCACTCAGCCGTAATATCCCTGCGATACCACCCGAAAGAAGCATGAGGGCTAAGATACTACAAGATTGCTGAAGCCTAGAAGGACCAATCAGGATGCTGAGATTGGGTTCACCTTCGCTGGGCTGTCTTGAGTACAGTCGTTGGTGTTTAAGCCACCTCGTTAAAATAAGGTGGCTGAACATGCAAGGTTTGGCTCTTCCTAGTGGTCTTCACGGTTCAACAAGAAAAACTTCTTGAAAATCAAACGACCAAATTCGGTGTGATTTGCTCCAAAGTCAAAACACATAAATCCAAGAGACATAATAGTTCAACATACGTTGAAAACTCGCCTGCAGTATCCACACAAAAATGCTTTGAATTGGATAGGTGTGAAACAACACAAAACAGCCTTCACATCCTTCAACAGACCATGCTATGTGTTACCAAAGTTAAGGGCCGAAGCAACACTAAGCGACTTGTAGTCCTCTAGCTGGGTGATGAACCCGTGAAAATCTGAGTGCCTTTTGTGGTGCAGAGCAGCCTCATTATTCCCGTACCGTTTTCTTCCTGGACGCTTGACCAATATACAAACTAACACTGCAAAGGCTTTCAGCGAGGGTTTGCAGCTCGCCGCACGTTTGCACCTCAGTATGACGGTTTGAGTAGCAAGACTTGAGAGAAGCATGGTTCCGGTTTACTTCTCGCACTGGCAGAAATGCTCCTCCAAACGCGCGATAACACGTAAAACACAATCAACCAGTGCTGTTGCCAAGTTTCATGGTCCTCAAAACGATGTGCTGAAATGCGGCTCGAGTATTGTAGGGTATGAAATCATGCATTGTTAATATAGAAAAATCTTTACGTTGGAAAGCACTGTCAGTTGGAAGCAATACCTAGCTAGTGTTTCTGAGCTACCTAGCGAAATGATACCAACTAAGGGCAATTTGTCTGTCCTAACATAATGGGGCCTCCGGTTCCGGGGTACCAAGAACATTTGATATTAATGAGCTCTAAGGAGAGTGAAACCCAAATCAACTGAATCTCTGTTAGATGCATACCAGTTCAAATGATCGCGTCAGGTTACAGGGATGTCTGCTGATGGGGCTAATTTCGGAACACAACCTGGAAGCATTCATGAACAACGGTTTATTTGGTGAAACATATGTATTTGCAAACTGAGTAGGTGTCAATGGCAGGTTCAACTGAATGCATCGTCTATGATATGTTTCAAACGTACATGATGAACAAAGGCCACTACATGTAGTTCGCTAATTGCGTACTAGTTGGGTATGATCGGAACATAGATCTAGCTACGCACACCTGATGAATCCCATAAAGGACGAGATTGTTAAGGGGTTTTCAGCAACGTTTTATGGTGAGTTATGTCAGGTAACGTAGTGTCGCCTAAAATACTGGGTGACACATTTAGTTGAAAACAATTTCATTAACATAAAATTCCCCTAATTTTTTGAGTCCGTTCGCGTGCGTTATGTGTCACGCTCGGCCAGATCTGGAATTGCTGTGGCTTTGCTAGTCTACCCAAACAATTAGCCCTGAATGTGCAAATGGGTTTCTCGTTCACATCAGTATATTTTGAAATGGATTGTGCACAATTTTGTGTTAAAGTAAAACAAAAGGTTGAAAGAAACTCAGGGAATATACCTACCTAGTGAGTATCCAAAATAGAGGAAACCGGCAGTTATTTGTTAATATTTCTCAGCAAACTTATGAGTGATGTGTTACGTCAAAAATAAGACCATTTATCATTGGAAACAACTGAATCTGTTGGCAACAAAGCGGTAGCTACTATACTTAAAGGAGACCATTTCACATTCACCGATATTATGAACCGAGATAGAGTACGTGGTATTCCGGACACTAACAATGAGCAAGATAATCTCTAGGACACGCACTTGGTAGAATCGTGCACAGAAGCGGGTCAAACCAAATGTCACCAGACTAAAGTCGCGCAAATCCAGGTAATTTGGTCCAGTGTTATCGACAAAAGCCATTTTGGAAGCATCTTACCGCAACCGCAATCAAATGCATTGTTGCACAATTGAAAACTTACAATAAAATAAAGGAAACTGTGGATTAATTTACAAGAAGGAACCACCACTCACCAATTAGCGGGAATGAGCTTGATGCAGATGGAATCGAGTCCTCCAAAAGCAGCAGGAGAAGGAAGAACGCAACGAAAATGTTCATACCTGAAAATGAGGGGATAAGTCCAAATGGAGTGAACCCTGCTTTTTGCAGATAATTTCATTGCTAAAATTCTGGAAAGTATATCTCATTATTTTTTAAATCTTGTGAGGGTTGTTGAGAAAAAGTCTGTACCCCACTTATCGGTCTGGAACTAATTCTCCTAGTATATAGTTAGTTATTTACTTCGGGGGGGGGGGGGGGGGG